AGGTGTGAAAACCATGGGAGCACGAATCACAAAAACACACACATATATATATATATATAATTTTGCGCACCCATGCCGCCCTGTACAGTAGTAGTATTTCTGCTATAGGGCGGTCAAGAAGCAGTTACAAAAGCGGTTTGTGTTACGTCGCTGCGTTACTTTACTTACTGACAATTGTGCGGTCATGCAACACTGCACCCAAATTAAATTTACATCCTTTTTTTCCCACAAATTGAGCTTTCGGTGGTATATGATTGCCTGTGCAGTTTATTTTTTGCGCTATAAAAAAAAAAAAAAAAAAAAAAAAAAAAGGCTGACAATTTTGAGAAAAAAAAAAAATATTTTGGACTTTTTGCTATAAAACATGTCCAGTGAAAAAAAATCAAATTTAGTCATAAATTTCTGCCAAAATGTATTCTGCGACATGTCTTTGCTAAAAAAAAATTCCAATACGTGTAAATTAATTGGTTTACATGAAAGTTATAGCGTCTAGAAATGGCGGGAAAGACACTGGGATTTTTTTTTTTTTATTATACAAATAATGGTGGCAATCAGCAACTTATGGAGGTGATCAGCGATTTATGACAGTGATCAGTGACTTATGGAGGGACTGCGAACATTTTGACACTGGGGGGAACTGACTTGGGGTCACTGACATCCCCAGTGACACCAATACAGTGATCAGTGCAAAAAAAAAAAAAAAAAACACTGACTGTACTAATGGCACTGGGGAGGAAGGGGTTAACTTTTATTCACTGAAAGGGTTAACTGTGTGAGGGGAGTGTTTCACTAGTGGGTGGGGGGTGTGTACTTCACAGGAACATGCTGATCCCGAGAGATAAAGTCTTCTCTCAGGTTCAGTGTGCTCTGAACTGATAGAGCTGCAATGTAAACACTGCAGCCGTGCTCTCAGCGATGGAATCCTGCTGTCGCGATCTGTGGGACGGGTAGGGCGGGCACGCGCCCCCTACCTGTTTTGCAGAGCGCCGTTTAAAGACGGCACTGTGCGCACAGGTGCCACCCTGCCGCAGTAAAAACACTGTGGTGGGTCGGCAAGTGGTTAATACAGGTTTTCAGAGACTTCTGGGAATTGTAGGGCTGAAAACCAAAAAAAAAAAAAACCAAAAAAAAAAAAAAAAAAAACAACAACAACTTTCCCAGGTAAGCTGAAGTTAAACTATAGAACCCATGTACAATCATGAAGGGCCAGGGGAATATTAAAGAAAAGGCCCGGAAGAACAGCGGGGAATTGGGGAAAGATTTTGGTGGAAGAAGCATGTGAATGTTTGTGCCGAGCTGCTCTGTTCTGGGCCAGACTGGGTTTGCTGGGAAAGTACTCTAAGGCTGGCCATACATTATACAATTTTTTTACAAATGTCTGTACAATTTCCTTTAGATTTACATTCAACTATGTAGTTCAAGAGCTTGCCTAATTGAATACAAAATGAAAGTGTTTAGGTTTGACCTCATATTATATGCTTTTTGGTAAATATAAAGGAAAATAGTACAAGAAAATTGTATAATGTATGACCAGCCTTAAGCTGAACACGGAGTGGAAAAGGCTGCTCTGGGGAGACCTTTCAGCTGCACGAACTCTTTAGTCGCATACACCGCAGGGCAACCATTGCTTCTCTAGATTGTCACTGGGTGAGGGCTGCTGATCCATGCAACATTGCTACCAGTTACATTTAGTTTTTGTTGCCAGCCAGGCTTGTCAAAAGTTATAAGCATTCTTCAATACTGGCCTCTATCAGACAGATCTACCATTGCCCTTAATTGCAGCAAGCTGCCATTCCTTATCTGCCATCATGGTCACTGCCAGCAGGTTGCTGAACAGAGTTATACCTTTGCTCACAGCTAGGCGGAATCTTTTTTTCCTGTAGGGTCATAGCTTCTTCCCCCTCTCACTGCAATGTGCTCCTGAATCAGCAGCTATTATGCACCCAGCCAGAGTTCCAGCTACCCAGTTTAAATCCAGTGATATGCAACCCACTATCCACTCTTACATTACTGGTTCTCAGTCTACTGTCAAGTTTGGCTCCATAGATCCCCTGCTCACTAACCAACTTCACTGACCCTCTGACCACTAATCAGCCTGATGGTCTTGCTGCCCGATGCTCAGCCTGCCCTCATCAATCCACTGCCTACCACCCTGCCAGATTCTTCTAACTGTGCCTACTGCCTAGCTAGATTCCTTCTGCCCAGCTGGATCCTAGTGCAAAAGGGTACGCTTCTGCCTGCAGATGGTTCTGCAACTTCTGAGTTTTCATTGTCATGTGCCTTGTATGGGTTGCCTATTTGGCCAGAGATTCTTTTTATAGTTGCCTCATTTAGGTCCCTCATGTCCATAATGGGCATGGTATTGACACAGCTCCAGATGATCCACATTGGCTCACAATTGATATGATCCAAAAATATTTAGAAAGTATAAAGGTAAATAAAGCACCTGGACCGGATGGCATACACCCACGAGTCCTTAAAGAATTGAGCTCTCATTTCAAAGCCATCATTTCTTATTTTAAAGGGACTCTAATGACTGGCATAGTACCACTGAATTGGTGTAAGGCCAATGTGGTGCCAATATTTAACAAAACATCTTACCAAGTAATCATAGACCTGTTAGTTTAACTTTTAGAGTTGGGAAGATACTGGAGAGTTTAATAAAAGACCACAGGGTGAGTTTTCGCTGGAAAAAAAAAACAAAATTTTAAGCAACAAACAGCATGGATTCATGAAAGACAGGAGTTGTCAAACAAATCCAATTTCTTTTTATGAGAAAGTGAGCAAAACCTTGGACAGAGGGGTAGCGGTGGACGTGGTATACTTGGATTTTGCAAAAGCTTTTGACGCAGTCTCCCACACACGACAAAATGTGCAAGATAAAGTCTATGGGCTTGGAAAAATCTGTATGTAAATGGATAGAAAACTGGCTAAAAAAGTCGTATTCAAACTGTAGTGGTTAATGATTCATACTCTGAATGGTCTAGGGTTGCCAGTGGTGTACCCCAAGGTTCAGTGTTGGGACCCTTACTTTTCAATACATTTATAAACAAAATAAAAAGGTCTGGGATTAAAAACACCATTTCAGTCTTTGCAGATGACACCAAACTGTGCAGTGGAATAACGTCCTTACAGGATGTCTTCAACTATGTGGTTGATAAATGTAAGGTGATGCACTTGGGGACTAAGAATATGCATGCATACTAGGGGGCATACAATTGGGGGAATCAATGGTGGAGAATGATCTGGGGGTTCTGGTAGATCACAAGCTTAACAATGGCATGGAATTCCAAGCTGTGGTTTCTAAAGCGAGCACAATTCTCTCGTATTAAAAAAGGTATAGACTCCAGAGAGATATCATTTTACTCCTGTACAAATCATTAGTAAGACCTCATCTAGAATATGCAGTTCAGTTTTGGGCACCAATTCACAAAAAGAACATTGGGGAACTGAAGAAAGTACAGAGAAGGGCAACCAAACTGATAATAGGCATGGAGGAGCTCAGCTATGAGGAAAGATTAGAGGAACTGAATTTATTCTCTCTTGAGAAGAGGATTTTAAGGGGCGATATGATCAACATGTATAAATACATCAGTGGTTCATATAGCGAACTCTGTGTAGAGCAATTCACCCCGAGGTCATCACAGAAGACAAGGGTGCGCTCTATGTCTGGAGAAATAGAAAGTTAATCTTCAAAACACGGAAAGGTTTCTTCACAGTGAGAGCTGTGAAATTGTGGAATAGACTCCCTCAAGAGTTGGTTCTGGCCAGCTCAGTGGATTGCTTTAAAAAAAGGCCTGGATTATTTCTAGGATACACAGAATATAACTGGTTACTAACATTTATAAGTAAAGTTGATCCAGGGAATATCTGATTGCCTCTCGGGGGCTCAGGAAGGAATTTTTTTTCCCCTGCAGGAGCAAATTGGATCATGCTTTGTTGGGTTTTTTGCCTTCCTCTGGATCAACTGAGGGTATAGGATTAAAAAAGCAAGTTACACTTATGGTAACGCCTTTTCAGGAGTCTTAGGACAGCACCTTGGGAGACCTCGGCTCCTCCCCACCTGAGGAAACACCTCCACCGAAAATAAAAAATCTGGTCACTCCCCTCCGACCTCAGTTCACACTCAAGCACCTCCGGTCACCTGGGGGAGACACAACATAAGACACCAAAAAATCCAACAACACCTATCTCTTGAAAATCATACAACAGAGCGTGGGTAAGCAAAGCTGTCCTGAAAGACTCCTGGAAAAGGAGTTACCGTAAGTGTAACTTGCTTTTTCCCTTCTTTGTCTTTCAGGACAGCACCTTGAGAGGATAAGTGATCACTCATCCCTAGGGCGGGACCACTGCTTGCAGAACCCTACGTCCGACGGCTTGCACCTGCACCAAGACCAGGTCGAGTCTGTAATGTCGGATAAAGGTGCCATAACTGGACCAAGTTGCAGCTCTACAGATCTGCCCCAGGGAAGCACTGGCCCGTTTAGCTTGTATGGCCACCATGGCACGAGTAGAATGTGCCATGATGCCCTTTGGGACCTCCAGGCCCTCGGCCAGATACGCCTGCCTAATTGCTAGCCTTAGCCACCTAGCGAACGTGCGTCTGGAAGCTTTCTGGCCCTTCCTTACGCCCAAAAAAGAAACAAAAAAAAAAAAACAAATCTTACTTTCGAAACACTTTCTAAATAAAAGGAGAGAACACACCTCACATCTAGCGTGTGAAACCTTACCTCCTGGTCACACGAAGGATTAGAGCAAAACGAAGGCAAAATAATATCTTGACCGCTATGAAAACTCGAGGCCACTTTGGGTACAAAGGCCGGGTCCGTCCTGAATGTAACCCTATCTGTAAATACCTGAAAAAAGGGGCTCTGATTGACAGAGCTTTTAGTTCACTCACTCTTCTTGCAGTAGTAATCACTACAAGGAAAACCGTCTTGAAAGTCAGGGCCCTCAGGGAGCTCGAATCTAGAGGTTTAAAAACGGGGATCCCTGTTAGGGAAGGCCTGCCCATAGTGCAGGTGAAGTTCTGTGGCGCACAAATATGCGCATGTGCAGAGTCCTTACGAGCCAAACAGATGTGCAGGTACTTGGACATCGGCGCACTCGCACATGTGGCCGTGCGACTGTCACTAATGCTGGCGCCAAAAGGGCCATTTAAACTGGCTGCAGTAGTTGTCCCATTGCCGTATGGTCTTTTCCCTGCTCATGTTCCCCGATGCCTGTGATTGTCTCCTGATACCGAACCAGCCTGTTCCTGATCTCCCCTTGATTGCTTCCTGCCCTGACCTCCGTCTTGTCTTGGACTATTCTTCTGTCTCTGCTCCTGTCTGATCTTCCGTTACTGACCTGACCTTTAACCTGACTACTCTTCCTCCTGCCGCTGCAAGCCTGATCTGCCTGATCGATACCAAACCCGGCTCGTCTGACCCTGCATCCTCAGCACGCTACGCTTGAGTATCCATCCATCCTGCATGGCTACATCAGAACCCTGCTCCTTGCCTACAACTGATCACCTCACCTGCTATTACCAGACAGATCACAAGCACTCATACCCCACCATGCCCCTGCGACCGCTGTCTCACCATCAGCAGTCCTTGAGCCGGAGTTGTACGGGAAGCCTGCCTCTTCACGTCAGGATCACTATCCAGGTACGTGACAATCCCGTCAGTACATTAAGCACCGTTGACAGATCCCATTTGGGAAACTGTGTAATCCCTGCCAGTCTCTGTCTGGACAAGGACCTAAAAAAATCTAGCTATGAGTACCTCTTTGGCTAATGGAGACTAAGAAAACCGAGCCGATACTTGGCTCTTAAGTGTACTGACAGCTAAACCCTTGTCGTCCCCTGCCTGCAAAAACTACAAGACCGACACCCAGCTATAAATGTCCATTAAGGCCTGGGAACACCATCTATTGAAGCACTTCCAGACCTTCAGATAGATTGCTCAGGTCTCTTTCTACTATCCATGAGCGTTGCAACTACCCTACCTGAGAGTCCCTTAGCTAACAAGAGCTGTTCTTCAGAAACCAAGCTGTCCGATTCCATTTGTCTACCCTGGGACACAGGACCGGGCCCTGAGATGGCAGGTCCTTCCGAAGTGGCAATACCCAAGGTGGACGTGTTGTTAAAGCCGCCAGAGTCGAAAACCACGCTCGTCAGGGCCAATATGGAGCTGTTAAAATCAGGGAGGTCCGCTCGGCTCTGAATGTTCTCAACACTGCCGGCAGCAAACAGACTGAGGAGGAAGGCGGAACACGGGAAAATCCCACTGCTGCGCCACAGCATCCACTGCCAATGCCCCATCCAAACCGACTGAACGAGAAAAACACTGGGACTTTGGTGTTTTAGCTTGACGCAAATAGGTCTGACTGGAGACCCACACTCACTTATGATGACTTGGTAGACCTCCCCATTGAGTACCCATTCTGATTCCCTCAGCTGCTGCCTGCTGAGAAAATCGGCTACCTGATTTAAATCCCCCTTCAGGTGGACGGCAGATAAGGAGGCTAGATTTGTCTCTGCCCAAGAGAGCAACACCACAGTCAGGACCCATAGGGACCTGCTTCGAATCCCTCCCTGCCTGTTCACATAGGCTACCATGGTCGAATTGTCCGAGAGGACATGAAGGTGTCAGCCCTGAATCAAATCCCGGAAGGAAAGAAGGGCCCACCAAACTGCCCTGAGTTCCTTCTAGTTTGAGGACTCCCTCCTCTCTTCCCAGGACCAAGAGCCCTGCACCACGAACTCCCCCAGGTATGCTCACCACCCCTGGGCACTCGCATCCGTTGCGATTTGGCAACTGGGACATGCCAAAGCAACCCCTGGGTCAAATTGGCTGCTTTCCTCCACCATCAGAGAGACCTCTTCACCCTGGAGGGTATCCGTACCAGGGAGTCTAAAGATGCCTGCTGACGGTCCCAGATGCTCAAAATGAACAGCTGGAGGGGCTGTAGGTGTACCCTGCCCATTGTACCATCGGAATGGACGAGGTTAGAAGACCCAGTACTCGCACCACCATAGAAAGTGCTGCCCCTCGTGTCTTTTTTAGGCCACAGCCAGAAGCCACGTCCTGGGAGAAGCCCCGCCTCTTCCGCCGGAAATGATGTCTCCCGTCATCTGGCCCGGCTCCAATGCCGGCACAGCGTGGGACAGCAGGACTCCTCCCTCTGGACACCAGACACGAGGACTCCCGGCTCACCAACACCCACTCCAGTGGGGGCCGGGGTGCAGCCCGACAGGTAAGCGCAGCCCGCCCCCCTGTCTCCTACAGAGGAGGCCCGCCTGTCACTGCACCACCGTGGAGGATAGAAACCCAGCTCTTTGGCGCAAAACCCCCACAGCTTCATCTCTCCCTTCACCAGGCCCTCTCGGTTCCCTGACCGCTCCTGGACATAGCATGTCTCCCCACCGGAGGAAGCACCGAAAACTGAGGTCGGAGGGAAGTGACAATCTACACATTCTAGGAGGATGGACTATTCTGCGTTCTCCCCTGCAGACTATTCCTCGGATGCAGACTATTCCTCAGATTCAGACCTGAGGTGAGCCTTCTTCTCAAGAGTTTTATTTTGGGTGGAGGAGTTTCCTCAAGTGGGGAGGAGCCGAGGTCTCAAGGTGCTGTCCTGAAAGACGAAGGGAAACACTTTTATTTTATTTTTTAATGGTTGAACTGGGATGGACTTTTTTCTTTTTTTTCCAGACAGACTATGTAACTAAGACGTATGCTGCTCCTGTTACACCAAAGCCTGGTGGTCTGAACATACCCTCTGCAACTGGTGGCTGCACGTGCACATGCTCCTTAGATGGGGGAGAACGGTCAGGATTTGATCATCTGATGGTGGCATTGTGGCTCCCACATATGTAGATTGCAGTTCTGCTGTTCACCATTGGGTGTCTCCATATCCAACAGTTCATAGAAATTAGTCATCTCCTGATGCTGGCTGCTGGGAGAGAATTTAGCCCCTCCTCGGCTACTCTATTTTGCCTGTATGCCCTTGAGCCATGTGCCTGCTACTCTGCTCCTACTTGCTGGAATTTGTTTCTGTTTACCCTCCCACTGCCCTGACTTATTCCCCGCTCCTTTGGCTTGATCTGCCGTATAGCACCCTGGCATATATACTTACGATACCTCTTTATTCTTAACCTGCATATAAATTAGTTTGCATATCATTCTCAGTCTCACTGACAGACCCAACCAGGACAGGGGCTATTAGAGTGGACTGGGGGCTAGCCTTCTACCCACTCACAGGTCTGCAAAAAAAATTCTCAAGAGCTGTTTTGGTTATTCCATATAATCTATGTTTTTTGGTGCGCTGAATCCGAAAATGACCTCCATTTTGTCATAGGACATCACGTTTCCTGACAATTTAGGGAACTATGTAGATTGTAAGCTCGAAAGAGCAGGGCCCTCGAACCCCTCGTGTATTGTATTGTACTGTATTGTCTCATGTTCTGTCCCCCCCGCTAATGTACAGCGCTGAGCAAACCCTTTGGCGCTATATAAACACTGTATAATAATAATAATAAATAAGGCAATAAATGGAAATACAATTAAAGTTTATTAAAATTTTTTCATGAAAATCCTTTTTTGAACTGAAATGAGCTCACCTACACACACTAAACTCAATAATTCTTCCCTGTGAGGCTCCTCTTCATGCATTTACGCTTGTGAGTAGCATCTGGAATGTCTCTCTGAAGCATCCAACAATAGTCTGCCATCATTGTAATGCTCCATTTTCCCTGGTATCTCCTTTTCATCTCTTTAATGTCTTGGTGGAATAGTTTACCTTGTTCCTCACTCACAGCTCCCAAATTTTCAGGAAAGTAGTCAAGGTGGGACTGGAGGAAATGCACTTTCAAACTCATCAGGCAACCTAAAGCTTGAAATGCTTTCAGCATTCGTCCGACGATCTTTTTGTAGGGAGGATCTTTGTTATTGCCTAAAAATTTCTGTACGACTTCTTTAAATGCAATCCACCCTTCTTTTTGAAGGTATTGACAAACTCTTGATCAACTATAAGCCTTCTAATGTCTGGTCTGACGAACACACCTTCCTTCAATTTTGCCTCCGACAGGCATGGAAACTTGGTCACCAAGTATTTGAAAAATTCTCCATCTCTTGGAAGTGATTTTACGAATTGCTTCATCAATCCCAATTTTATGTGGAGAGGTGGTAGAAGAACTTTATGGGAAGGTACCAAAGTTTCTCAGAGAACATTTTTTTCACCGACGGTTAGCACCCTCGGCTGCCAACTCTTCTTGGTCCAGTGATTTTGTCGGTCTCGACTGTCCTATAGACACAGAAAACAAGGGTATTTGGTATACCCAGCTTGTTGCCCGAGCAGCATGCACAAGACCTTCAAGTCCCCACACACTTGCCAACCATGGTCTTCATATTTAAGTTTATGAAGAACCAATTCCATGTTCTCCTAGGTTTCCTTCAAGTGTACGGAATGACCTACAGGTATGAAAGCGTAAAAACCACCGTTGGAGTAAAACTGCTTTGAGACTTTTTGAAGAATCTATAATTTTGCATTTTGTGGCAAATCATGACATCTAGGAGTTTTTTTCAATATTTTATTTGTTTTCAGCACACCAAAATACATGGAAATTAGATGAAAATAATTAAACAGCTTTTTAGTCACAGACCTGTGATATGGCCCATAGAGAGCAGATCAATCTCTGATAGACAACTTGATGAATGCTGAGAGCAAGACTTGAATTAATTCTCTGAGTAAAGACAATAACAGCTTCACTTCTGGAGTGGATGGAAAGGTGTAATATTAATCTTGTACAGGTTAATGGTCAGATAACATATGGGACCCTCCTGCAGACTGGGTTGGAGAAGCTCCTCCACAGAAAATAGATTTATCAACAATCTCCCTCATGAAATCTATGACGATAGAGGAATTCCACTTTTTCAGACTGTTGGGGTATTGTATGAGCTTTGTCTTATGATGGACAGATTATACAAGTGAACGCAAATACCTGAAAGACACGATGTGTAATGTACTTGCATATTCCGAAGTGGGCTTTTTGCCGGGCTGTCTGCAATGGACTCCCTGATTAATCAAAGCATTGTCTCAGTGCTTGGCTGTTTGATTAGCTTAGTATTAGACCACTGTTAGCTTTACGATTTACAGTTTGTACGGTTAAGAAAAATGCAATCAAGCTTTTACCTAATCAGTGTGGGATGTTTATCCCAGTGTGTAATATTTGTTTTTATTGCCTCTATTTCAGTGTATAAAAACGTATTTCTTTTGAAGAGTTCCAGTTTTTGAACCCAAGCTAGTGTAGTCTAGTCTTAGGTGTAATTCCTAGCTACAATACCTTGGTTTTGTGTTCAAGCAGTGAGAAAGCAGTTCTGATGGAATCACCCAACCAGGGTGACAGGCGGTCTGTCACATACATTGAGGGAATCTGAAACTAGTGAGCCAGCCGAAATAAGATTTTGATGACAAATGT